GCCGTCCGCAGGCCCGCGCTTACGGTGGCCGGAGATCGTCCCGCGACCAGTAAACCAACCAATCAGATTATTCGTGCTTGGCACTCAGAAGTCAGGGACCTTGTATCAAGTACCAAGCAATAGTAAACACAGGTTAAACGGTATTTTAGGCATTGTGCCATTTTTGATGAGAAGTTTCCCTTCCTGTTTGATACTTCCTTGTTTGACAATGTTGGTATTTCTACACATGGTTTTGTTGGCAACATTCGTCTTGAGTCTAGAGAAGTAGTGGGATGCTCCACGTCTCCATTCGCAAGCATTTGATGATCAATATGTTGCACCGCAAAAAAATACTGATGCCGTGCGTCATGTTGCGCGTCAAATGTTGCTTAGTGGATAGGAGACTTAAAACAAATTCGAATTGTGGTTCGGTACCCTTTTTCCTTTATCCTTTTTTTTTATACTTTGCCTTTACCTATATAAACTACGGGTAAAATAGGATATATCTAAAAATGAATACTTATTATATTAAAATAATAGTGTTCTTACTATCTTACTTTCTACTATCATTGTATGTATACATGTGAAAGTTTCTAAAGATATATATATGCTAGCTAGTTAATCTTACAGGCAAAATCTACCAGATGAATCTATAATAATATGACTGTCTTTACTAAAAATTCTACGTCACAAAATACATACATATTATTTCAGTAATTTCTAAAATTGAATAGAGATAGTCTGTAGCCTAGACTGCAACATTTACTTTTATCTATATACCATGCAGGTGAAGTCACGGATTCAAAATACTGTGTAATAAATAAATCTTTAGGATTTGCTTTAAAAAATGAACTATTCAAAACCAATCTCTTTTATTGTTTACAGGTTACCTTGAACAAGGTCTAATGGTAAAGGATCCAAAAATGCTCAGGAAACATTATTTAAAATCAGTATCGTGGCGATACGACTTAATATCATTGTTGCCTACTGACTTAGCCTACTACTGGTGGATTCCTGGAACTTGTGATGCTGTTAGTACTTAAAAACGTTTATAAAAATAACACAACACGCCTTATCATCTACAAAAGGATTGATATCATTTGGACGCGTTATGTCTTGTTATCATAAATAAATTGGTAGAACTTAATGTTACTGAGAATTTCAAGACCAATTAATAATTGATGACACTGACTCCCGCTTGAAACCAAGATCCCATCCTTGGTAGCCATGGTCATAAACATTGCCCTGACGTGTCAGGTTTGAATCAGAATATTTGTATGTTTGTAAACATTTTTACATGTTTATAGCACGGGTACGCATTTCAAAACTTTCACAGAAAAGATTCTTCAATTAGAAACGTTCTCAAAAATTTTAATTGAAGAGAAAGGGTTGTGTTACATTATGATACCTTATGGAGACCATTCTCGTATTGCGTTTCGCGTCATAAACGTAAAGATAGTTTACCAAAACATTCCTTAACTAAGTTATTACCGAAGTGTCAATATTGGTTGTTCCAGAACTGTTTGCCGTGCCCTGTTATTGTACGACTCAATCGACTATTTCGCCTGCCTCGAATGTGGGAGTGGTTTGATCGCACTGAGACTGCCACTAGCTATCCAAACGCGTTCAGGATTTGCAAGGTTAGAAATACGTTACATGTAATGTTTTGATAAATGTTTCCTTATTCACAAAAATGAATTAATGAAAAAATTATTATCATCCACTTCCAGGTTGTTATGGCGATCCTTGTCCTGATTCATTGGAATGCATGTTTGTATTTCGCTATAAGCTATGCAATTGGGTTCGGGACAGATAATTGGGTTTACAATATCACAGGAGCTCGCAATGAAACATTGGCACATCAGTACATTTACAGTTTCTATTGGTCCACTCTGACTTTGACTACTATTGGAGAAACCCCACAGCCAGAAATTGATGCAGAATACTTATTTGTCGTAGGGGACTTCTTAGCTGGTGTTCTTATTTTCGCTACTATTGTTGGAAATATTGGGTCAATGATTTCAAACATGAACGTTGCTAGGGTGGAGTTTCAAAACAAAATGGATGGTGTTAAACAATACATGGCTTTTAGAAAAGTTAGCGGTGAACTGGAAGCCCGAGTGATTCGTTGGTTTGCTTACACTTGGGCACAAAGTGGAGCATTAGACGAAGAAAATGTGTTATCATCTTTGCCCGATAAACTTAAAGCGGAAATCGCAATACGCGTCCACTTGGATACTTTGCGTAAAGTGAGAATATTTCAAGATTGCGAACCTGGGTTACTTGAAGCACTGGTGCTTAAACTTAAACTTCAAGTCTTTAGTCCTGGGGATTATATTTGCCGCAAAGGAGATGTTGGAAAAGAAATGTATATTGTTAAACGTGGCAGACTTCAAGTAGTAGCTGACGATGGCAAAACTGTATTAGCTACTTTAAGCGCTGGCTCTGTCTTTGGAGAAGTGAGTGTTCTCGAAATAGCTGGTAATCGTACCGGTAATAGAAGAACGGCTAATGTGAGAGCCTTGGGCTATTCAGACTTGTTTTGCTTAGCAAAAAGAGATCTTTGGGAAGCACTTGCTGACTATCCAGATGCCAGAGCAACACTCACTGAACGTGGATGTCAGTTATTAAGGAAGGTTCGTAAACAATGTCACAAATGTCACAGTAGACGTGACAAAAAAACATAATATGTATAACCATATAAAATATAAACGTATAACCACATACAGTATTAACCCAAAGTATAACCACACCAATATAACCACATAAGCACATAAGTATAACCATAATTAAAATGTTAACTCATACACATATATACAAATATATACAATTCTTTTGAAACTACAGGATGGATTGCTTGATGAAGCCGTTTTCGAAAATGCACAAACAACTCAACAGAGCATGGAGGAAACTGTGCACAAATTGGAAACTACCGTTGATATGTTGAATAATCGCTTACAAGGACTACTTACTGACGTCGGAGAAGAACAGGCTAAAATAAAACAAAGAATTAGTAAAATAGAGCTAAGGTGCGTATCACATCTCATGCGTAGTTTGAGAGCAACTTGCAAACACGGTGCAATGGCCATATAAAATGTTTTAAACTTTGTTTTCTTTTTAACTATTTGTTTTAGATTAATATAAAAGCACTTGCGAATGTTTATTTCATTTGAGTGCGCGTAGGTTTAGGTTATAATTATAATAACCTATTATTATTGCGAATGCTCGACTTGTGATCAGATAATTTCAAGATTTTCTTACAAAACAACATTTTTCAGGTTTATGGAAACGGAAGATGAAAATACTGATTCCGACGACTTGACATCGTTGGCAGCGTCCGATTTGAGGAGTGATGTTGGTGGTTATAGTGAGTTACCGATGATATCGGCTTACAACACCTCCATGCATCTGCTGACCCATCCTATGCCCGTGCGTGAACGTGGCCACTCACTAAGTGTTGAGAGATCATCTGGCTTGCTGAATCGAGCTCCGGAGCCACGTAGCAAATCTCTTCGTTTGAAACGAATCCACAAAGACACTTCTAAATAAACAAACCTAATTTTAAGTATCGGTAAAGAATGTTGAGAAGTTTCTAAGGAACAGTTATCAAACACTTTCGAGGTGAAATGTCCAAAATTGTAGAATGTGATTATTTTTGATACCGCCAGTGGGGTTTATATTGTTATACACATTTTGATATTGAAATCCAAATCAAGAGGATTGCCCCAAAATTATATGCAGTTCTTAATATCTAAAGTTTCTTTTATAATGTAATCATTGTATAAATAATGGTTGTTGTGGAACAATATAGAAACTAGTGTCAATGGAAAGTGGCTTTACAGATACGTTTCAAATATTTGTAAGCACGCACATTTTTTGTGTTCTAAGATTAATGAAAACGTATTATGGTTATATTTTAACATTTTATGTATTATATGTAGGTAGTACTCGTAAAATAGATTTATGAAAATGTCGCAATTTATTCAAATCATCGATTGAGACTTTAGATAGTTCTAAGGGATGCCATATGTAATAAAAAATCCGTTTTATCCGAGTCATGCAAAACATGGTTAGGAGCCTACTTTACTATAATTATAAAAGTAGACGACCTAATAATAATATATATTATTATGCGTCAATACGGTATATTGTTGGTAAACATTAAGTATACACCTACATAATGTATGTATATATTTACCGATCATTTTGTTCACGTTTTGTTACAGTAGATTTCGTGAAAAATGACATTACAAGAAATAACTCTTAAATAATGTTTCCAAAAAATAAAACAACAATAATATAAGGTTTTATTAATTAATGACATAAAAGCACATAAATCGATGAGTTTCACGTATACCCGGTATACCTATAAAACTTTATTTTGGATCTAAACGAACAAGCCACGTGTTTTATCATAAATTTGATTAACCCAATCGAGTGCCTCTCGACAGATATCAACGTTATTAGTCTATATTCGTGGATTTGTCATCGATTGCTCGTATATGTATCTATTCGTTAAATAATAAACTTACATATTATTCAAATAAATATGTAACGTTCAGTTCGCAAGCATTTATATTGTGTAGCTGTTGTTAAATAAGACACCTCTGATGATATTATAAAAACTTAATTTTAATAAATTGTGTACCAGTAATTTATGTTGATATTTTAAGACTCTGTAAGAATTTGTAGGTTTTTGTAATTAAAATAATAAAGATATGAAAAGAGTGTAACCAAAATTGTTTTTATAAATATTAAGAACAATAAAAGGATGACTTTAATTTGAAGCCAATGCCAACTAGCAGATCCAGAAAAAAATGTATTTCACGAGAATCAATTTTCTTACAAATCTATTATTTATTTCTAAGACAGCAACAAGATTTTGAACAACACCTATTAACTAATATATTTTCATATTATCAATTGTACACTACATATAATATCATTTCAAATCAATATCTATCTATTTCATGTTTTGCCACGAATATTTCAGAGGTAAGCATTCTAAAATTGGCAAAAATTCATGTGCATAAAGAAATTATTCTAAAATATTCGTTTTAACTGCATGACATTATGATTGACAAATTAAAATGCATGTTTACATATAATAAATTTTATACACTGATCACTACACGAGATTTACATTACAGTCAATAATTCCATAATAATTCACGCATGGTGCTTAAGATATTCTAGTCTTGTGATTCCCCTTCACTTCAGCAACTTACATAAAACATTTTGAATAAGGTGCGGCATTAGAAACGAGACTTGACGATGCTTCTTCTTTTACGCCAACTGCCAAACAACGGAAATTAAGATTAGGACAACATTCATTAAAATGTATTATTACTTTAGTTTTAATCTTTAATTTACTCAAGAACTGAAAAAAAGAAAGAACCACGCCATGTATTTCATTCATCTTTCTATGTTACTTTACTGATTATTCCAACCCAAATGTACAGTAATAATAATAGTACGTTATGCAATGCAATAGTTCATGAAAAAAAGAACTTTTTCAAATTTCAGCGTCCTAGGACTCTTTAACTTAAAACTACTGAACCGATTGGAATGCGTATAGGTACAGAGGACAATTTGAGACCAGGTAATGTTTTCAGTGGTTTCCTCTCGATCACAAAGACTGATAATATTTTATGTATTAATGGAAAAACGTTAACAGGTCTTTGGAGTAGTTGAGAGATTGGAAGACTAGCGTACGATGTGTTTACGTGATAAATCAACAAAATTAATACAGTCTATAGGTAACAGGTTCCAATGAGACCTCACGAGATGGCGCTTGTGTGAACCTCTCGTTCTTTGTCCAACAGGGAATTTGCTAGTGTCACATCATTGGACGTTCATTATTTGACAGCTCCTGTAATTGGACAAAAAGGCCCCTACCTACATTTGCGCCATCTGCTGAACAAAAGAACGTTAGAGCCCCCATTCACGACGCCCGTTTACGAACTTGCGACGTAGACATCGCTAACGTAGAGAATCGAGCGATCCAGTGCTCGTGCCATCATCAATGAGACCTTTGAGTTTGCATGACAACTTCGAGCTTACACAGCTTTTTGTCAGCACATACAAACTCGAACTCGTTTACGACACTACGTCATTGTCGCTTTAAATGTGTGACCGCGATTGCTGTCACGGGTCGTCTCTGACTGCAGAAGCAAAAAGCAAAATGGAGGCTATTGATATAAATTCAGAATCCGACAGTGATAGGTAATGAGTTTTAAAATAGATTATAGTTAGTTAGGAAATCATTCGAGAACAAAATATGGAAGAGAATATAGAAACATGGAAGAACTAATTATGTATTCATATAGGTAACGTCGTGTAAATATTTTTTTTAACAACTTATGTAATTTCTTCTATTCTCAAACACGTTCAAATATTCACAGCGCTACCGCTTAAAAACAATGTCTGGAGCACCTAGGCGGAACGTAAGTATACGCTCATGTACTTCCCTGCATCGACATGTGAGAGGAAATGCAGAGTTTGGTTCTACGCCACAGGTTTTAGGCGTCCAACCTGTGTTTTAATGCATATAAAACTTGGATCTTTGTGCTCGGAAGAACTTTTCACGACGTAACTTGGTGGAAAAGTACCGCCGAGGAGACAAAGAAGAAGCATCGCAATCTAGCAGCAACATAAACCACGACAGAAACGCATATACCACGTTAATTAAAACCAGCAGTCTCAAGCTGAGTTTTGTAACAAATAACTGCGAGAAATTCCTTCGTATTCAAACTCCTTGGGCACTGGCCGCAATTTACGCGTGCAATGTGATGCATGCAGCTGTAGCCAAATGCCACTTAGCGCTTGTCTACATGTAGAATAGAAACCCAAATTATATGGAATTGACGTAAATTTTGACACTTGTCAGTGTCATCCCCATACATTTTGATTTCTACTCTCTCTGTAGACAAGCGCTAAGGTGGCGTTTGGCTAAAGGCCATGGCATGACATAGTTCTTTTGTTAAGTGTGTTATGAGATGTTTTTAGTAAATGTGTAATTTATTGAAAGGATAAAATTGTTTGACTTTATACCAGTTTCAAATAAGTTTTACTTGAACCTGACCCACCCCGACTACAAAACATTATTTACCATCGGGCCAAAAAGAGAAACGAGCACTCGTTGCATCGGATGAAGTGACTGCTTCATGTCGGCGCGTCGGAGAAAAACTGCTAGATGGCACATAGCTTGGGTTGGGACTGGGAGATCCACCTGTAATCATATAAAACAATAGAGAAATGTTAGAGTAACCTAAAATAAACATTATGTAGAATCTACTCATATGATCAAGGAAATCGGGCAGAAATTATTTTCGTTTTTTTTCATCATTAAATTACCGGGAATAGATTCTGGAAGTTGGCGATGTTTCATCCCGTGGCTCGGCGAGCTCATAAAGCCATCGGACCCGGCTGTCATACGAAGATCTATAACAGTCGTAACAATTGAACACAGTCTTAAAAAAGAACAGTACTTGTAAATTAAATTCATTTTGAAAAAGTATGATAACCTATGTCCATAATATATTTATAGTACATGTTATACGTACATATAACTTAGTCTTAATATAATGAGTAAAGTAGACCACATTATTTCACCAGGTTACAGTAGTTACTGGTATCTTCCTAGGGTTCTGTGTGTAAAATCTATGATGATGAGAAAGTTTATAATGCACGATGAAAGGATGGATAAAAAATAAAAATAAATAGGTTCTAGGTTCATCAATGAAACTCATTTGTAGTGTGGGTTTGTAGCTATGTGTTAGAATTATGAATTTTCTTTCTTCGTCTGATATAATAGTACCTATAGACGTCGGAGCCTCGCTATACCTGCGGTACTCTTATATCTGTCTGCAGAGTGTTTGAAGTAAACTCACGAATGGGGAACTAATCCCAGGTTTCCCTATGTTAAATGAAACTCAGCGTAATGTGACTGTTTCACTATAATGTGAAAGTTACTATGGCCTACTGCTTAGGTTACTCGATTAAAATTGCACAGTCGGTGCGGTGGTAGGGCAACTGGCTGCCGCGATACGGGTAGCGGATTCGATTACCACACGGGGCTACTCCTTGTGTGATAAACCACGACACCGGCGGAAATCCAAGAGTGGGACAACGTTTATAAAAAAAAAATATAAATTAACAATTTTATCAAACGCATCAAAGTAACATAAAAATTGAATAGGATTCTCTACCAAAAATACCGGTTATTATCACATCAGGAGCTTGCGTGAAATTTTATTCCATGGAAGAAGATTTAATATAGATATCATTAATTATCTACCACAGACCATATAAAGGTTAGAAAGGCCTTGTGGGCAGGGTATGCACGTTGCGATTATGAGCAATTGCTCACAATCAACCAAAACGTCACACTCATCATAAGCCACCCATCAAATGCGGTCTTGCTGTGACAGCGTACGAAACTCCGTAAATAATATTACATTATGCCGTCTTGCACTATTATAATGTATCGATAAAGAAAGCAGGTGTGTAGCACGAGAATCTATACTTGTGATATTTGTTTAACATTAATATAATGACGTTTGTAGACAAAACGATATTATCGCAAGCAGAAGAATAGTAATACATTGCTTGCAATAGGTGGGTACCATTTTGTACTACATAAACGATCGCGCAATTTTAACGTTACGTTACTAATGACTAATTACCATAACAGTCATATATTTTACGCTTATCATATTTATACTTGTGACTAATAATTTGGGGGCAAGGCAGTACCCCAGCCAATTCGAGCGTGATGTAAACACTGCTGTAAAACATCCTTTACTGGAACCGTATTTTCAGGCCCGAACCTCTGGACAAGACCATTATCATCATTCAGTAAACTATAATCACATACTAAAAATCTAAAATTTCAAGTCTTTTAGGTCACTTAGTTCCAAAGTTATATGAAAGCAAAGTTTTGCATTAATTATGACACTTACTCACTCATGATCATCAAAATAGAACTGGTACCTCTGCTAAATTCAGAGAGCAGAGATTTGGTAAAGAGTTAAAGTTCAATGGCCACGCATAGGGAACTCTATAAAAACTAGGATAATCGAAGATTTAGAGTACCTGGTGACTCTGGTTGGAAACCACAAGAGCCCAACCAAACCACTAGAGGTTGACCTTTACTGCCTCTGCAAAAATATTCATCTTGGTGGGTAACAAGGTCTGAAGAATCTGATGAAGAAACATCAGCAGGTCTCAGCTGTATTAAAGATATGGTAGTGACCCTTTCTACTATTGGTACATAAAAATGGATTGTCATTGTAAAAATCCAGCGTAGTAAACCCGACCGAAGGGTCGAGATTGTGGATAGATGATCCACAGAAAAAGGGCGGCAGAGAGTGCAGATAAAACGGGTATGAGAATCTTCATCATTGAAAGCGGTACAATATATGGATTTCCTCAAAGAGCCATCAGACCACCACTAATGGAGCCCAGTAGGGCTGAAACCCGATAGGGAACTGCAAAAGACCTAACCTGTTGCCGCGGCTCCGGCTTCTTAAAGCAAGAGTAAGAACGGGGTGGTTTTTAGTCAATAAGAGTGACACTATCTCCCTTAACCCAAGGCGGGAGAAGTCATTGGATGATTGTGCCCTCTCAAAAAAAGCATTGCTATGCTTTCCCTTTTGCCATCGATGCGGACGAGATTTGTGACGCTCTTTTCTCATTACGATAGGTAATAAAAATGGTTGGATTACATTTACTACTACTACGTAATTCTTCGACTTGTATAAACTATGGACCTATACAAATACCATTAGCGACCTCTACCGCTTTAGTATTAAAGAAATTTTAGATTATACATCTTTCGTTCCGTCTATGTTTCAGTGCAGTTGTTACAGAGGGTGTTATAAATTCCTTCAATAAATTACTAGATGTCGCTATTTGGCGCAACCATAGACATGACGAAATTAATTTTGATAGCCTCTTCTGTAATATATTACACATTAGCTTTTCACGAAAAACCCTATATTTTTATAATAAACTAATGTTTTGTTGTTGTAATTGAAATCAATTGTTCAAATAGTTTTTAGTCTGTGCCCAACAGCTCATAATGTCATCGATTTCATGGAGCAAACTGGGCCGTCACACTGAACCCAACACAGATAACAAAATCGTACCGACAACTACATTACGTTACATTATTATTTTTAAAATATAGGGTAAAGATAATATCTGTAGAGGTAAATAGTTAAATAGAATTAAGTATATCAATTTTATATCATTCCATTATTTAAAAAGAAGTGTGTATGAGCTCTTAGCTGGTTAGGGATTATGTAATAAAAACCTAATAAAATTCCATTATGTTAGAGATTAGATGAAACCGTTAATCATAACATCACTCCTTTTTCATCCCAAGAGACAGAAGAATGCATATATTTTAATTATCTACAACAAACGTTTGTGACACTAGTTACTGTCATAATATGCCATTTTTTATGGAATTACTAAAAATAGTACTAATTTCATATTTCAGGGTCAGCGGTTTTGGTACCTAGTAGTGAAACAGAAAGATTTTATAATGAAAGTAAGTAAAAAAACAATGATGATATTTTATTCGTTATAACACGAATTTAAAGTACTAGGCTTCTGCCCGCATCTTTATCTGTGTTTTTTGACTTAAGACATTTTTTTTCCCAGACTTATTAGCTATATCTACACAAAAAGATCTTCCTTTTCAGAAGCAACACATTCATTTAATTGAATCCTAAATCATAAGATTAAGTCTTAAAGGAAATAAATTAGTTTATTGTGCCCTTTTTAAATTGATTGGCGTAAATTTTGACGAGTAGCAACTCTTTTGCTTTACAGGAAATTTTACAAATATCGCATATTTCGTGTGATAAAAAATAATACCTATTACTGATGTCCAGTGTATATTACTGTGTATGTTATAACACATCAATAATCACGTCCAATAAGGCTGTTTATACAGGCCGTAATGTAAATAGTGGTTCACTATTAAGGGGTATAATGCTATTCATAAGCTACAGCCACCATACTCAGGGCTGTACAGAGTGCTAGCCCGGGATAGTAAAAAAATTAAAATATTTCAGAAGGGCAAAGAGGTGACAGTCTCCATAGACCGACTTAAACCAGCTTTCATATTCTCCGATCAAACAGTAATGGATTCCCTTCCAGAGACCCAGAAGGAATACACCACTCGTTCTGGACGGCGAGTAAGATTTTTATCGCCCTTGGCGGTCTCTGGAGGTGGGAGTGATGTAGGCTGCTTATCTACGTTCCATTATTATTATCATCTATTATAAATTTATTAGTAGGTACATTTCGTTATAGTTGTACCTACTTTTATCATTCTATACCATGCTTATATTCATGCTCTTTACTATTAGACACTCACCTCTTTTCTTTAGTATTTTCTTCTTCTAATAATATCTGTCAATACTCTTGTTTTTCTTATTTCAATATTTTCCCAATGCATAAGTGTACATAAGATTATATTTTATTGAACTGAAGTTTTAACCTTCTAGATCCTATCGACTTTCCCGTCACGCTGATGAACTCCTAAATAACTAAATATCACATTTGAACCATAGTTCAGTCATTTAGTACTTATCTTAGTAAAACATATAACTACTGTTAAATAATATTCCAATTTGGTAGTAATGCGAGCACTGGCTGCTAAGGAAGTTTTAGTTTTGGTTTGAATTTTCTTTAATCGTATTTCATTTTCATGTTTTGTTTACTTCTATAAAATTGTCTCATTACAAGGCAAGTCGATTATTTGTTTAATATTTTGTATTTATTTATAATATGAATGGCCCATAGTCTAAAACAACAAGTTTCTTTCCGAATTTTTTGCCACTTCGTATCTTGACATCTTTAAAAAATCATCATGATTCCCATATCTCCTTTCCGGTGAATTTAAAATTAATTGTTTTGGCGCTTTTTATTAGTGTTCGAGAATTTTGTCTGGTGTAGCCTATTATAATATTAGTTATGAGTTCCATGTAATAGGGATGTGTCGATGACGGTGATCAGGACTCATTTGCAGACTGTTGTTATTAATTAAGATGAGAGAAATATTTTTTGTCCGGCCCAGGTGTCGAATGCGAGATCCCTGACTCTGCATTGACACTACACAACAAGGAAGTCAAAACGTTCAATAATAAATCAGCATTTATTTATTAAAAATAAAAATTCTGAATGTTACTAGGATCTCGGGTTGGATTCTTCGGTAGGTATTAAAAAAATTTTACCCAGCACTAGCAAAGTCTATAATTGTATCTGGTCTTTTTATAAGACACCATGTAACACAATTTAGACTTGGATGTTTTAAACATTAAAATTATTATAGCATTTAAGCACTTGTTTTATAAGGATAAATAAACGAAATTACAAGTTTCATGACGACAATTACCGATATTTGAAATGTGTTTTTCTATACAACCCCGTACTTTATGAAAATAAATTTTATATTCATGGGAATAAGTATTTAATTTCTATGGCATCTTAAATGATCTTTCAATGTCCAACTTCCATACCAGCGTGCCAATGATCCTAATAATATCCTTGACAATAATGCATTTTTATTTTGTGTGTGAGAAAAATGAGCCTTATTTTTAGATTTTTATTGATAGTAGTAGTACAGTAACATATATATAATATATATATTATGAATACCAAAAGAAATGGAAATATTTAAAAATTTTGGACAGTGTACTTGAAAGTGTTATAAATTTTACCCCGAGGTAACTTTAAAAAATAGTATAGCTATATTTTTTTCTTGATGATTTCTAAAGCAGTCGTAAGGCCTATCGTCTGGTTAAATCTTATTCTTGGTCCTTTGGTTTCGGCACTCATTTCATTACCATAGGTATTTTACCGTTAGACTAAAAACTAAATATAATGCATATTATTTTACAATATGTATTTTTTTACAATAACTATATTTAAATGGTGGATAAAGAAATCTTTGCACATTTCATTTATATTGGTGTTCCGAACATTTCCTCATCCTTTCTAAAGTATGCGACTATCTTCTTCTTATCTAGTAATATGTGTTTGTCAGCGTCCTTAATACTACTATTTTTACTATAATTTACTAATTACCTTCAGGCCAAAATGGAAATCGAGTAACAGCTGCATCTGATGACGTCACTATGTCATGATGTCTATTGGGTGAAAAGCCACCAGCAGATGGGGCATAACCTGGCCCTGGACTCGGAGAACCATCTAAAATGTAATAAATATAGATTTCATAAAAATAATTGCATTTTTATAGACTAGACTTAAGTAGCGTAGTAACTTAATAGAGGTATGTACTTAGTTAAAACGGATTGACATTCTTAGACCAAATTTTGCTGGTTTGGAACAGAATTTGGAAGACAGTTACAGCTGTCTCAAGAGTCTTACGATTACTGCAAAATATATATATATATATATATTTCAAAGCTAATTAAAATATGGATATTATAAATAGACTTGTTGAAATACCTCTATAATCACATTATTAATATATTTTAATAATATCATTATATTTCAACAATATATCTATATATACATTAGTTTAGTTTTATTTTATTCTTAATGTACCTCTATAAAATATTTATGAACATAATGCAATTAGTACAGTTATATTTCAACAAGTTTTGAGTTCCATATTTGATCTCACGCAAAATACAATCCGTGATTGTTATTTTGCATTTAATAAATTCATAAAGTGCATACTACATTTATTTAAATAAATATTAATTACGTATTTTTGAGTTTACAAACAGATGCCCAAAAAGCGATTTAAATAATGTATGAACAATAAAAGATACCTTAAGTTATAGGTCTGAGAAATAAATAGAAAGAAATGTAGTTTCCGTATTGAGTTATAGTTTTTCGAAAAGAAATAAATATATCAGTCAATTTAAAATAAAAAGCAACGAAACTTTTGGAACGTACTCATTTCGTGTGCAATGGTTGTCGGAAAGATTTTACAAGATTAATAAATAGGTAAATAAATGACTGCACCGAACTGAATATTTAGCTGCATATATATTTTGGGCATTACATTTAGTTTGCTTTTATCGACATCTTCAACTTTTACTACCTAGACCTAGTATAGTTTATAGTAAAACTGGGAAAAGGGGGCCCTATATTCTAATATGATAACGAAGAACAAAAAAATTACCTATGGCACTGACTCCAATGGCATTATAGGAATTCATGGACATCGATTGCATGGGTTGCAAAGGGCTCTGGAGCTGAAACAAAAAATATATGACATTGTGAACTTTATCTATATTAACACGTATATTCTTGCCAATAATTTTAGAAAAAGAAGGAAGACCATATAATTAATAAACTTTTTCGACTAAGGATGAGAACCGAGAAGAGCCATATTTTCTTGATTTTATAAAAACTGACAAGTTTTCTATACAGGTCAGATGTCAGGGGATAGAGACTAATGATATTTGTTTACAGAGATAGAGGTGTGCACAAGTTTTATTTTTCCAAAAATTTTAATAAATGATATGTCTATATATTCCTAAAGCGTGTTTTACTTTCGTATTATGCTATAAGTATATGTAAATATAAATATGCACACCTTATATCCACAGTACATTCAATGGCATGGCAACCATAGATATTTTTAAAATGGTGTTAAACTACCAACTAGAAATTCTTAGTTTATTTATTGACAAATTTAATTATTTATTTATTTTAAATCTTGTTGAATCTATCGCCTTATTTAATGTCCATTCGTGTTCTTAGTTATTCCGCCGTTAAAGGCGTTTATTGAACAGTCATAGCGCCAATTTGCGAACATACGGTTTTACTGCTTTTTGATACGCTACTCAAATTTTAATCTCGATTTAATTACTGAAATGAAATTAGCCTCTTAACACGCCATCGGAGTTCAGAATAGCATTACAAAACTTGTTTATAAATAATTTATTTCATTATAAGTATTTCAGTAAAACTTCAAACTGAATTCCGCATAATTGTAGGTATAGGTAGAGCTATGGAAGGTTTAGAAACAGACAGACAGTCCAATTACCGTGCCAAACGTGTAGTCTTAGGTATACTATATATATATAACTCCCCTAGAGAACCGACCGACAGATAGATATTTTTTTAAAAAATAAGAAATTATTAGATAATATTAGAAAAAGCTCAGTCTAGATTTAATACCTGTCCTTGAATTTGATGCGTTGCAAAGGGATTGACGGCGACAGGCGACGACTGGTGGGGTAACGCGCTGTGTGGCGAACACCCGGGTGGACTACGTCCCATACTTCCGCACGCGCCTGCGTACCCTAGCCCGCTCGGTGACTGCGTCAACCATGTACTGAAAATATTTAAACACCACTTAAACATGTGTTAACTAGGAACAGCGAGCATTTCGAGCAACAAGTCACTTTAAACATAATTTGCGGCTGCAAGACCCATTTAAAATTCAAATCAGTAGGTAATAGGTATAATAAATATTAGTGAAGAAATTATTAACTATGTAACTAAACTATACGATAAAAAGTTTATGGTAGAAGAAAGTAAGTAACTGTGTCCCTACTACACGATGCCATGAGAAATGCGACTTAAAACCTGGCGAGTATTATACGACTTCTAAGTCTGTTTTTAGTTTACCTTTATTTACAGTTAGTGAAATGTAGTGAAAAACCTCAATTTATAATTTAAAAACAAAAACCTTAAATCGCTAACACGCCTTTACCTGACGTCTCATAGTAATGCGATGCATTATTCTATATATGATCATTTTCTATGTTATTATTATTTAAACACATTCATTTACTAATGTCAAATCTCGACTCGCTCTCTTCAATGCCGGCACGCACAATAAATATGTAAAACCAGCTGACCCCAACATACTTCGTGTTCTTTTTTCACATTTTAACTTTCCCTGGACTTCCACGAGCATTTCAAGATCAAAATTAGCCAATACGCTGCAGTCGTTCTTGAGTTTTAGCGAGACTACCGAACGGAAATTCATTTTTATTTGTATAGATATCGGCCCTATTACAGTTAATAATATTGTAACGAAGTTTTATTAGTTAAAAGTACCACCAACCTCGCATCTGGAGCTTGATATTAAATACGCATGAAACAAATTCAAAGACCAAAGGACTCAGAAATGCGTCACCGTTTAGAAGTAATACGTTGTTTTCCTAAAGGGTTAAAAGTCCTATCGGTTCGGAAATACCACCGGCGACAGTTCATTTCACAATATTGCTGTGCGAGCCAGGGAATTTCTTGAAAAACGCACAATTATTGCCTGTTAACTACAATGTTCTGGTACGCGTGTCGGCGAAATGACGCAGCAGGGATTAAATCGAACAGTCCATCTATGGATCTTTACGAAATAATATACAAACCAGCTCTTAATTATTATTATAATAAAGTTGGGCAATACTGCGATATCGCGTTACTAAGATACACTGTTTATCTAAAGGACAGCCGCAATTGATAAACTTACAAAATTTGAATTTTCATCTAATTAGTAAGTACCTATCCCGCATTTATCTTTATTATTTATATATGCAGTTTTATACATATTATGACGAGATTTGTATAAGAGGCAAATCTACTCCATCATTAATGAATAGTGATGAAACTTAATTTAACTAAAAAACGCATTTATTCGCTGTTTAGTACCTATGTATGTACATATAAGGTAATTTGAATTTGACATGTATGCTCCAAATAGGAATAAAAGAAGAACTCAGAATCACCAAATCGAAAGAGTTTTACTCCTAAACAAATATTTCCTATTTAAGACCAGAGTTTTTACCATTAGCACAGAATTGTACCAATAACCATTTATGATTCGAGTTCTACAGAGTAAAGTTTAAAAAAGTGCAAATTCTATAAGATATATTTTTGTTAACTTATAGGTAGTGTGAAAAAGGGGAGATATGTGTATGTATATGTATAAATAAAATGACAATGAAATAGGTTGGATATCAATGATCATTTTCCTATATGACATAATATGTAACTAAGCATGGCTGCATGTAACTAAGCCAACCGTTCAGAATTTAGATCTGACTAAGTATAGAAAGTACTTATACCTACTATAGATTTTAAAGACTACTGTTAAGTAAGGGTACGTTATGTAAGTACGGTTAAATTGAGAACCTTTTCCTTTTTAAGTACATATAATGTAAATAACATCCCCTTCGCTCATAATATATTTAGTTAAAGGCTTAGTAGTAATATTTTTGTAATTAATCGACAAATCAGTTCGAGCTACAAGTAATACAATTTTTCTTTATTTTCAAGACAAACTTATAAAATTTCTCACCCAATTTAAAAGACATTAAAGCGATCTGTCAACGTCAACTGAAGTTTAATTTCTTAAACAAAGTTTTCATAACTATGTAAAAAAATCCGGCATCTACAACTATGCGATATTTTTAAATCTTTCATTACAATTTTAGAAATATATTATCAGGTCTCACAAACTCTTATCACTGCTTTATTTAGTCAGTAAATTACATAACATCCAACATTCAATATGATTATTATAAAATTCATTGATAGCTGTCTAATTGAAATCGCTAAGGAAATGAGAAATAAAATTCTTTAGCAAACATATCAGTAAATTTATTAGCATGTGTTTTGTAAACACTAGTATGAAAACCGTAAACATTGATTATAATTTATAATATGTATGTAAAATGTCATAGCGTATAACTTGCTAACTTGTCCTCGCTTGAAATTGATCAATGCCGAAGGTTTTATTAAGTGTGAATGGTCACAATTTCGACTTCTTTATCCTACTCTCAAATCAAACTACATGATGTCGACATAATGTGTGTGTACTATTTTTCATTCTCCCCTATCAGACACTACCTCATCACGAACTCCTTTGTCTTGAACATCGTTCTTCACTCTATCTATTTCTCTCAACCTTATAAGTTATACTCTACCTTTCTACTGCATTTGAACTCAGTGCTCGCTTTATCACAATTATAATTTGACTACAGGCAGGCATGCACATTTGAGCCGTCCTATCTACTTCATTCATAAAGTAGACCCTGAGAAATACATAGTGGTCTCAATAGATGCGGTAATTACATTATTATTAGAACTCGGATTATATACCGCAAGAACTTTGAAAACAATATAATGATCATCTCTACTTAACAACTAAATAAAAAAGAAAGTATAGCTATTGTAATGTTTGTTTGGTTTATCATTTCAAACAAGTTGGCGTAAAATATGTATAGTTTTAGTAATTCCTTTTGTGACTTATAAAACAAAATTAATATGTGAAACTTACGTGTCATATCTCGGGTAAGAAGGCGGATGGTATGGTGAACCGGATCCAAAGTAATTCCTAGCCCCAAGTGGAAGAGGCTGCATGTGAGGTGGTACGTGTTGACCAACGTGTGCCACGGGGTAGCCGTCTCCAAACAGTGTCTTGGAGTAAGGAGTGGCTCGGAACGGCCTCTTCATCCGTCGTCGGCGTCTGAAGTTACCATTTTCGAACATCTCACCGCATTGAGGATCTACAACAATACTACACTCAAGACCGAAGAGTCTATAAACATCGGAACAGGATCACAACGCTAGCAAATCGCTTTCTGATGTAAGTATGAAATATGAGATGACGGTGAATGGTCGCGGAGCAGCCGGCAAATTCGCATTGCATTTATGCCAACAAGAAATAGATAATACTTTCTCAATCAACTTATACGACAAATATTATTGATTTAAATGAAACGAAAACTCACCAAGAGTCCAATAATTTCCCTTACGTTCACCACCACCTTCTCTCGGAACTTTTATAAAGCATTCATTTAAACTTAAATTATGCCGAATCGAATTTTGCCAGCCCTTTTTATTCTTTTCAAAAAATGGAAATTCCTTGGTGATGTAAGCGTATATTTCACTCAGCGTTGCACGTTTCGTTTGGCTATTTTGGATTGCCATCGTGATGAGAGCTACGTAGGAATAGGGAGGCTTAGTAAGAGCTTGAGACGTCGGCGTGGTAGACTGCGGCTTCATTTCAGAATTCCCTGGGCTAGCTGGAGTTGTTGACTTAGATTTACTCTTTGTTTCAGTCGTGCTATATCACAAAATAATTTATAATCAATATTTCAGATACTTTATAAAAAAAACTTATTTTGTCACATGCGTATTATATAGAATTCTAGCAAATACGTTTTTATTAAAGGAATATAATTATCTTTCTAAGACTGGCCCGTTAAAACCCACCTGTTATTAGAATTATTGTCCTCTCTCGGTAAAGTTGGCAAAGACAGCGTTTGGTAAACTCGTGATAGTTCTTCTTCTCCCTTGACACTTTGAGAACTTGCTGCATCCGAGTTGCTTTCTTGAAGGCATATTCTACTGTCGTACGGTGAAGCACCTACGTACAAAAATATAATTCCATTTAAAGCGAAAATATAGTCGGTGCCAATATAGTGAAACGAAAATTATTCAGATAAACCGGTTCCAAATATTTCACCAATTGCAATTTAATTACGATTTAGAATATCTACTCTTGCGTTTTTAGGTACCTAATTATATCGTTATAATATATTCCAAAATGTTTCTTTCGTATCATGAAATGGATATCGAAAGAACAGAAAATGAAAATCATCATACAAATGTAGGCACCCATCAGTTATAACGGCAGTAGGTAGTACAAAGGCAGCGGGCACTGTTTTATAAATTCTTTGTACTTAGTTACAGTAACCCTGCTTGGCTACGTGTCGTATTAGTCCTAATAACTATGATGACTAACACCCATTCTGTTAGTTTTAGATGCAGAACAATTATTAATCATGATTCCCAGAATTCCACCGTGGACTATTGTCTTAGCAGTTATGATCGAAATGAATGTCCTGTCATAATTGTTCGTCAACTTTATGCTGAACTCCAATATTATATTTCGCCTTCGCCAATTTTATTTGTGTATCAATCATTTAATTATATTTATGTTTAATAGCAGATTTTAAACCCAAGATCTACTAACTAGTGATGTTATTTATCCTGACCACTCGTGGAAACCAACCACTATTGTGCTCACTCTATAATTGCTTACAAATGGAGTAGGTACTAGAATGCAACAAAAGTTCTGTTTAAAGTACATACAGTATACATTATTGTTATTATGTTGTAACATTTAACACTTGAGATTTAGCCAATCTTACGCGTACGTGCCTCCCGATACGGGTTTCTTGGAATTCGTCGCTTAACGTTGTAGGTAGCTAAACATGCACACTACATACTTTTATAGGTGCTTCTACCCATGGCTAAAGTAGTACTGAGTTACTTATTCCATTACGTATTTTTTAAGAAAACCATAATCCGTTTTTATACCGCAGACATATACTTTACAGTGATGAATTCAAGTATGGTAAATTAGTGTTTTGATGTCTTATATGACATTTGTACGATATACCTACGTATTTTTTAATATCTCAGTGTAAATTGAGTGTTTGTCTTAATTTGTTCATATAGAAACGGAAAAACGGTAATTTCCACATTTTGCGTATGTAGAAGAATGCGTCAGACAGACGCCGCACGCCGATGTAGTTGCATATCGGATTCGAGCCGAGCCGCGAACACCGCAAGGTATTGTGTCGCTTATAGAACAATGCGTCGTATTTATAAAACATTAAAAGCCGGCGTATCGTTCGTGAAATTAATAACAAATAACAATTGTGAAACGTTAGTTCGGGAGCAGTGCGAATTACCCATGCCGTTGAATAACTGGCTTCTGAATGTTCGACGAGTTATGAGAGACTCATCTCGCATACAAAGGAATAAAAAGAGTCGATTGACCCTTCTGTATGTTGTAGCAGCTCTTAGGTGGCGCACACAACATGGAGAACATTTCTTTCAGAATAGTTTTAATTTATAAACCGTTTTACATGTTCCTATTTCCGTTTCGGTGTATGGCCCCAGTGATTTTAGATGGGCGCCTCAGTTTAGTTACTTTTCTTTATACTAACCGTTCCTAAAGTCTAAATTATACAATCATAAAATAACACGCCGCCTTATTATTGTTTACTTTTATAGTCTTTATAGTATTTTGATTATTACTAATGTATGATCTAAATGATTGGTATATTTTCAGTCAGTAAGCCCGACACTCGCACTCCAAGGCTGGAAGATAAAAATTTATTGACTCTCTCTCCTCAAGGAAAACAAAACCAACTATAAAATACAATAGGTTTCCTAATTACAATTCAGAATAAAGCCAAAAAGTGCACTAAAGTGAATGCCACAAGTGCTTCATATTTTGATGGTGACAGCGGATTTATACCTTCATTTTCACACACACGCCACATAGGGGCTGCAGAAAGTATTCAGGGAAAGCTAATGTTCATCATATAGGTTATCATAACTGTCAATACTTACATAGTATAACACAAAGCCACTCTCTACCTCTGTCAGTTTTTAGTCTTTCTTTTTATGATACACACATCAGATATTAGTGTATGCCATTTTCATTATTATTCAGGAAAACATTGGTGCCTCTAAACCTTTGGGACTATTTACGTGAACTATTTTCATCGTAGTCAAGAATAATAAAAATATGAATACATCTTTGAAAAGATCGGAAAACGGTATTTATTTTCCAATTAGTAAAATTCAATACTTATTACGAAATGAATTGACATAATCGTTTGTGATGCCTGGGGCGTTAATAACGTTAAAATCTGGGACTCATACTTCTTAAGCTTTCATTATATTCATGCATCCGGTTGTTGCCATATTGAAATGCAGCTCCCACATTTCTCTGTGTGATTACATAAGTAATATTATTGCACGTTCGATATTATTTATTTTATCAGTAATGTCATCTGAATACTAGAACAAAAGTAATTTTAAGTTTATTTTACTATGTATCTACATTTGTTGTTTTTTATTTGCATGCTATTGATTAAATTATCACTGCTTATGAATGTCACATAAGGTAGTTGGTAACCCTTGGTGACGATTTTTCACGAAGAGTATATGTATACTTTTTGAAAAATAAAAGTGGACATCTTTCCTCCTTTTGGACTAGTACTTGATAGAAATAACACCACGTAGAATTGTGATTTTTGCGAACTGAAATGCCAAGTAGAGATTATTTATCAATTTTGTATAGATAATTTACTAACTGAATAAATAAATGAAAACCAATATCTAAGAACGTAATACGTATAAAAAACATGTTTAGCGTCTAATTCATAAAATAATTCTACACTAATGTTAATTCTTAGCTGTTGTCTAGGTTCAACATATGATGTATTTTTATTGTTCATTATCTACGTTCGTAAAAATTTTTGTCCAGTGCCATCAGATGTACCTCATCATTAATAATATACAAACTGTTTAGAAATCATTTTATTTGGGTACGTAATATTTTTTTTTTCGTTCTACTACAAGGCAACGGCTTCCTTACCCTCCTTCTACTCGTCTTTTTACAGAGCTTTCTGTGGCCAATAAGGTAAGCGCCAAATTCTATATATTAAATATCACCCCCCCCCACCCCCAGGCTTCGACCTTCCCAAAAATATAACTAAATTAAATTGGAATGTTCGAAGCAACAAGAAAACGCGCTCAAATAGTTTGGAACAACTGATATCAATTATTTAGATTAAATGGAAGTCAAGGTTAAGATTATTGAAAGTAGAAATGATTTTGTACCAGATACGAAGCCACTTTTTACATAACATCGCGGCTTGTATGAGGATACAAGGCGTGATAAGGGGTAGGCAAAGGTGTACATTATGCCCCTGTACATTGTGACACCCACTTTTCACTATTTATGTTGAGTCCCTAGGTGGTGAGCATTTTCTTTGATATATCAGAAAGTGTAGAAGTTCTATGATATATCAGAAAGTGTAGAAGCCCCAAGTTATCTCTTAAATCGTGCAACTTGTGATGCTGCACACCACATTCGTTAGGAAATCGAAATTGTTGAAACTTGTCAAATAATAATCCGTTTTGGTTAAGAGTCTGAAATCTAATCCTATTATAAAACGTGTGTCATAAATCCTATTAATCCTACTATATAATATTATAAATGCGAAAGTTTATGAGGTGTGTGTATGTGTGTGTGTGTGTGTTTGTGTATTTGTTACTGTTTTACGTCAAAGCGACTGAAGGGATCGAGATATTAGTAGAGCTTTTCTCAGCGTATTCATGTAAGTGACCCGCGATTTTTAGTTAATTATTTTTCTGTTGGACAGTGAGGAAGGCTATAAGCAGTATAGGCTACAAAACAACATCTTTCCGACCAATAGAAGCTGAGCAGCGGAAGTCGCGTGGGATTAGCTAGTATAATATATTTTTTTCAGTTTAGACATAATAATGTATTGAATCTTGAATTTATTTTTCGTTGAATCTTTTTGTTCGCACTACACAAATGTTTAAATAAACATTAATACATAACATAACATCACGCCTTTTATCCCCGAAGGGGTAAGCAGAGGTGCACATTAGGGCACGTAAGGCCTTGCACAATGTAACACCCACTTCAATGTAATAGGGGGTGAGCCTATTGCCGCCATATACCGGACACATATAGACTCCGTGCTACTACTGAGATTTAAAAAAATCCAGTAATTTTTTACCCGACCCGGGAATCGACCCCGAGACCCCTTACCCGTCTTATAAACATTAATATGCTAAAAATCTTTCAGAGTGGCATACCTAAGTAACTGAAATATGATATACTTTTATTGTACAAGGACCTGGGCCAAACGCCACTTTAGCGCTTGTCTACAGAGAGAGTAGAAATCAAAATGAATGTATACTGACAAGTGTCAAAATATACGTCAATTCCATATAATTTGGTTTTCTATTCTACAAGTAGACAAGTGCTAAATGACATTTGGCTACAGCTGCAGAAGTTTTGGCTAACAAAACAAATGCCCTCGACCGACAATAAATCATAATATACTGAACAAAAAGAAAACAAATTAAAATAAAAAACAAATTATAGACAAATCCATCCCAAAATATGTGAAAATCGGCTTCGATGACAAAAAAAAATAAGAAAAAACAACTCGTAACATGGTTACTGCTGGAGTTGGGTGGACCATACCAACAAACACGGGTCAAATGCTGTACTACATTACTTGATTGTTAACATATCGATATCGAAGAAATTTCGAATTGTGTTGTTACAATGATTATTGTTCAAGATATAAAATGGATTCTGCACGGTGATCGGAAACGCTCTTGACTATCTAATCCAGGTAAACAGACAAGTACTGACTACTGCCATAAACATGTAACATAATATGGGAACCTCTACTTGTACTTTAATACGTCTTGTGCAGTGATTTATTTTTTTTTTTTGTTTAAATGAATTTCGTATCGAATAGTAGGTATAATAAACTCAAAAAAGTATTTAACTCAGGC